CCCCTAAAGTCTCTGTTGCTCCCTAGATAGTCATGTTGTCATAGCAACAATGGTAGGCATACACCCCAGGAAGTGCCCATGCCCTAGTAATTAGACCTAAAGGAATTGGTTGTTTGTTGTCACTGGGTTAGCATGTCCCACGGGTGGTTTGTGGGACTGATTGATCCAGTATGTATTCTGAGATTTACCATCTAGTGCTGCAGCTGATCCAACCACCAGACATGATTGTATAGCCAACTGTGAGGAAATAGGCCTATGGGTGGTACAGACATCTAAAATCCACATGATTTTCTTTGGTGTAACATCAAGCTCTGGTGTAACATGATCAAGCTATGAATGATTGTATACAATTGGATAGAACATTACTGTTTAATTCAACTCTTGACTCTCAGCAGCCTATTGATGTGTCAAACTTCTCATTTACAGTAGGCTACAACTCCCTAAAGCCTTGGGTTTCCCAAGTGCCTGGGCTTGGGCTTCTGCCCCGGGTGTTTTTAGTCCAGCCCCGAACCTTTAGAGTTTCCATAACCACACATCACTTGCGCTATGCAGTATTTAAGCGAAATGTTTTTCCTGACAAATTTTTACGACAAAAATAAACAATACAATATACTGCACTAGGCAGTAGTATGGGACTGCACTTGGCAGTAGTATGGTACTGCACTAGGCAGTAGTATGGTACTGCACTAGGCAGTAGTATGGTACTGCACTAGGCAGTAGTATGGTACTGCACTAGGCAGTAGTATGGTACTGCACTTGGCAGTAGTAGGGTTGTCACTAGTTAACACAGCAACGAAGTCATAATTATGGTTAAACCCCGCCCATTTCTAAAATGTATCTTCTTAAAATCTGATTTAAACCTAACTTTAAACACACTGCTAACCTTACCTAACCCTAACCTTGAATTAAGACCAAAAAACTCATTTTGACTTTTTGGATTAGGTAGTAGGTACTACAAGAAGCGCCTGGAGTGACGCAGTAGCTACTGTGATTGGTCAAGATTTCACAAAGCAGTGGACCGTTCACGTCTCTTGACCCCCTCCCCCACACCTACAGCACCCGTTAGATGTCATTAGCTAGGTTTCCATCTAATTGGCTACAGATTTGCATGCCAATATTCTTAAAACAGCATAAATAAAATATGCGCATTTTCCCACCAGTGGTGTGGGACTGGCGTTTTGCCAAACGGACATAAGTGTTCATGTACCGAATAAAAATGATCAGTCGGCATTTATACAATTGTACCAAAACTTCCTCATTCCATCACAGCTGTCTTGATTTTTTTTATATGGTATGACTTTACTCGCATAAAAACTGTGGATGATGGAAACGTGGTTATTGTCATCATTCAGCAAAACGCCAGTCATTCAGTCAGTCTGCAGTTTAGCACAGAGCAAGTATGGCTTTTCTGAACTTTTCAGGTTGAGCATGAGCAGGCAGCAGTGAAGGAGGTGGAGAGGGCCGAACAGCCAGAAAGTCAAAATGCAGCAGCAGAGTTAGCCACTGAATCACATACTGTATTTTATGACAGTGACACAGTGCCCCCCTGTGGACTGAAGCTGATCGTTACTACAGCTTGATATTAAACATGTTTAAAATGCGCAATGTTGAAGTGGTAGAATGGACAAACTATCATAGAGGTCTTATAACCTATTCCATTCTACAGGTAAACAAACATGCTTGTCTGTTATTTCCATATAGGTAATGTAACTATTTGAAAAAAATTACAAAATAAAGCCTATTATTAAATTGGTGAAATCATTTAATTGAGCTTTTATTTGTATTACTATTTTTATTCACATAGCTACTTACTTTTTATATTATTGTTGCGTTGTTGAGATTTTAACCTGCAAGTAAGCATTTTATTGCACTGTGTACTCCATGTATGTCATGTGTATATGACAAATAAACAAACTTGAACTTGAACTTAGAAGGGGGACGGCAGCCAGAAAGAGTGAGGAAAAGATGGCCAGCCTTGTGGTTAGATTGTGAAAAATACTGAAAATACATGGGCCCTTAAGTTATGTCTTCAAAGGTTATCTAATCTAAAAATCTGCCATTAGCTGGTACAACTGATGAAATGAAATGAATCATAGAGGTCTTATAACTTACTCCATTCTACAGGAAAACTTGTTTTTGGCTCATGTCTCTTTATATTCATATAGACTAGGGGCTATGTAGCTTTTTATCTGTCATGCTATGAGTTGTGTTGCTCTGTTATGCAGACACATTAATTTGTCTTTTACAGTTGAGTTGCCCTGGTCGTGTCAGAATACAGTAACTTAAAAGAGCAACTGCCCGTAAAAAACAATTTTTCATTTAGAAAATAGCCTATGTGGCATTGATATGACTGGCATTGATATGACTCAGAAAATAGGAGAATTCTGGTTATAAAGTAAGTCTTGTCCAAAACTGAGTTCCTTGAGACTTGTGGTCGTGACTACATCACAACGTAAATGATGGTTGGGTTTGTTTCAATCATGCCCACATGCCCACAGCTGGCAGTACACAAGTAATCATCAATTCGGAGTGTAGCTACATGTGACCCAATTGTAATGCCTGTGGTAAATTTGGATTGACTTTGGATATCCCTATTGAGCTTGTTAGGGACCATCGGTAAATTATACAATGTACATGGGAAAATATGTACAAATTCCAATAGCTCCAAATTTCAATGACTCAAAGACCTCAAACCAACTATAAATTGTAGAAATTCATACACAAATATTGAAAGCCTTTAATGAGACAACTAAAATAAAACTAAAATATTGTCACATTTACATTGTGTAATTTATTGACGGTCCCTAACCAGCCCCAGAGATAGGCTATCCAAAGTCAAAGTCAGGTTGCACACCAGCTGGCTGTAGCTAATTGGCAAAATGATTTGGCTAACTCTTCCCACTGGCAAACACACACACTAGACACGCACATCAAACCACACCCAGAAACCAACTTTTGTTTGAATTCAGTCATGGCAGCTAGTATTTCTTAATGAACCAAATCTAAAACGAGGCCAAATCAGGAAGTGCAGTCGCCCTTTAAAACTAACTAATGACATGTTGTACCTCTACCTTGCTACCTTGCAGATGAAGAGGAGGACAGATGAGACCAGTGGAGCACTTAGAACAGCAGCAGCCAGGAGCAACTGGTAGGGAAGAGGATGATTTCGGTGACCCAGACACAGGCCCGAAACAAGTTAAGCTATCCCAGTATCCCCTTGACCATTTTGGATTGAAAAACTAAAGAGACACACCAGACAAGACACAGAGAACGCAACAGAAGAGTAGATGATGGAGAGAGACACCAGACAAGACACAGAGATAGCAACAGAAAAGTAGGATGTGATGGAGAGGCACCAGATAAGACCAGACAAGAAACAGAGACCGGAACAGAAGAATAGGTGATGGAGAGAGACACACCAGACAAGACACAGAGACAGCAACAGAAGAATAGGATATGATGGAGAGACACCAGACAAGACACAGAGACAGCAACAGAAGAATATGATGGAAAGAGACACCAGAAGAACAGAACAGGCCATAACAGAAGAGTTTAGACAAAGGAGACATTAACAAACAAGAACATGAAACAGCAACAGACAAGACACAGACAGCAACAGACAAGTGACAGAAGAGATGGAGAGAGAACAGAGGTGGGTTGAGCACACAGTAGACTGTATCACTTCAAGCTGCTCTATAGATTCTAATTAGTTGTATTTATTTGCACAAATTATAACAGGTGAAATACAGACAGTGAACAAGTAAAACATGGTTTACAAAGAATTTGCAGGTGAGGTGAAAAGGCCAGTGAAATGACTATTAAAACCATTTTTTACAACCAGGACAGGACGAGAGAGGAGGGTAGACAAAAGAGAACTCCACATAGAAAACTGAAGTTGTTAAAATGTATGGAGGCTTTTGGCAATACGCTATAGATGTATGTGTTTCAGAGTAGAGAGAGTTCCAGGGTAGAGAGACCCACAGTAGCTACTGTAATTGAGTACTGGCAGTGTCTGCTGTGGCAGGAGGGAAGGTGCAAGTTACCTGAAAAGATCTAGTCTCTCAATGTTCTAATCTCTCAATGTTCTTCTCAAAATTCATGCATTTAGCTGTTGAGATTCCTTCTTTTTTTTTGCCGGGGGAGGATGCACCAGGACCACCCTACTGGCTTTGGGCTAAGCCCCCAATGTTTTAAAATCCTAGAAATGCCCCTGGGTTTCCACCTGGGCTTTATAGCTCTGCGGCTCCATCACAGAACATGCCATATTGGGAGCCAGCAAGCTCTGGCTCCATTGGGCATGGGGATTCCTTATGCTGAATGTTCTCTATTCTATTTTATTTCTTGCGCTGGCTTTTCATCAGCCCGTTTTCAGTAGCTCTCCACTGGCTGCGCTAATTACAGGGCTCCTGGTAGCACTGAGTCCGCTTATTCTGGCTCTTGAGAAAAAGCAGTGCGCCTGATTCTCACGACGAGATAAACCACACACACAGTTCCGCACTGAAAGAACCAGTCAGCCAACTTCATTGGGACATTCCGCATCGAAAGAGACTCATAACGTCACCCAGGACAGGACACTATGAGCAGCACCATCTGATTAGAGGTTGCTCAAGAGCGCATCCCTATTATGGATGTATTATTATTATTTTTTTTTACTTACGCTACAGTGAAATGCTTCGTGTCAATTTAGGCAGTTGGCAGCCTGTTCCATGTGGTTATTCCTCACCTCACCACTTCATATAACCCGGGAACTCACGAGATGAATAGTTGTTCACTGGCAGTGGCACCTGAGCGACAATAAAGAGCAGCTAACTTGCGCTTCTGCGGTCCTGTTCAAGTAGGCTATAATTGGTTGCCCAAACTGTCAAGTTTGGCGGAAAGGTCTTGGCTGTAGCAGAACGGAGAGGTGAGGAGAACGCAAACCGAGGATTACCGGTCGGTCAGCGGTTACTGGAGAGGATGGGATACTTTTAGTAGCGCACTCACGGGAAAGGAGACAAGCCATGGCTGTGGACGGTAATAGAGATCCAATAGTTTGCATGCGGACATCTCAATAATCATCCCCCATCTTCTCCTCTAATAGCCTTTATTTTGTCGGTAACTAGGCCTATTAACTACAGGCTATTCGGTGTGCAGGCTAAGTGAAACAACTGTACAGAATAAGTTTTGCTTAATTTGCATGACCGGTTTCCCATCTTATTTGCTTAGGCTTTCAGCATTCAGTTGGAATTTTGCAGCCCAAAAAGAAACCGCTGAAATGGACAGCGACTTTAGGGTGACAGAGTGACGAGTGACCACATAGCCCATTTCTTTAAAGTAGTAGCCTATTTTGATCACTTATGACTCAGTCTTTCAGTGAAATTGAATTAGATTGGGTAAATTTCTTCAAACACTTCTAAGTAGCATAATTAAGTGCTAAGCTTATTGGTGGAAATACACTACATGACCAAAAGTATGTGGAAACCTGCTCGTCGAACATCTAATTCCAAAATCATGTGCATTAATATGGAGTTGGTCCCCCCTTTGCTGCTATAACAGCGTTGATGTTTGGCGATTAGGCCTGGCTCACGGTCGGCGTTCCAATTCATCCCAAAGGTATTCGATGGGGTTGATGTCAGGGCTCTGTGCAGGCCAGTCAAGTTCTTCCACACCGATCTCGACAAACCATTTCTGTATGTACCTCGCTTTGTGCATTGGGGCATTGTCATGCTGAAACAGGAAAGGGCCTTCCCCAAACTGTTGCCACAACGTTGGAAGCACAGAATCGTCTAGGATGTCATTGTATGCTGTAGCGTTAATATTTCCCTTCATTGGAACTAAGGGACCTAGCCCGAACCATGAAAAACAGCCCCAGACCATTATTCCTCCTCCACCAAACTTTACAGTTGGCACTGGGGCAGGTAGCGTTCTCCTGGCATCCGACAAAACCCAGATTCGTCCATCGGACTGCCAGATGGTGAAGCGTGATTCATCACTCCAGAGAACGCGTTTCCACTTCTCCAGAGTCCAATGGCAGCGAACTTTACACCACTCCAGCCGATGCTTGGCATTGCGCATGGTGATCTTAGGCTTGTATGCGGCAGCTCAGCCATGGAAACCCATTTTTGTGCTGACGTTGCTTCCAGAGGCAGTTTGGAACTCGGTAGTGAGTGTTGCAACCGAGGACAGACAAATTTTACTCGCTACGGCGGTCCTGTTCTGTGAGCTTGTGTGGCCTACCACTTCACGGCTGAGTCGTTGTTGCTCCTAGACGTTTCCACTTCACATTAACAGCACTTACAGTTGACCAGGGCAGCTCTAGCAGGGCAGAAAGTTGACGAACTGACTTATTGGAAAGGTGGCATTGTATGACGGTACCACGTTGAATGTCACTGAGCTCTTCAGTAAGGCCATTCTACTGCCACTGTTTGTCTATGGAGATTGCATGGCAGTGTACTCGATTTTATACACCTGTCAGCAACGGGTGTGGCTGAAATAGCCGAATCCACCAACTTCAAGGGGTGTCCACATACTTTTGTATACATAGTGTAAGTGTAGGCCTATTATTAAAGTGACTAGAAAGTGGCTTATAAAGACATATACACATATGCCCCATGCTGAAGAGGTTTGATTTAAAAGGGTTGTGTTCATTATGACAATGTTCTTCACCAGTGACATTGGTATGGCTTGGGTTGATAACAAGAGCTGCCTTTGCAGATCCCGGCTCTGTTGGGGGTCTGGGATAAGGGAGATGCTGAATGATGCAGAGGAGGGGCACAAGCAAGAGGACCAAAAACGCACCCTTTCATCTCCTCTACTGTCTCTTATTCTGGCCTCATTTCTATTAAACCTTCTGTGTCAATTAGAGAAGATACATTTTAATGAGCATCACACACATGCACGCACACATGCACACACTCTGACAGATACACCACACACACCCTGCTCAAAACATCGCCTCCAACACAGCCAGAAAAGCAACCCAATCTGGCACAGAATCAGTAATGACCTGTGGCTGGTTGCCAGGTTCTGTTTCAGTAATGGTGTGCTTACTCTAGCTAGCACCTTTCCCCTTCATTATGGTACTGAAGAGACACCTGCTGCCTGCAGAGTGGGATAGGGTGTGTGTCTGCTAGTAGTTTACCATAATGATGAGCGAATGGCACATCTGTCGAATATACGTCCTATATGATTTATATGCAGTAGTCATATGAAGTTGCCATAATTCCCTGGGAGCTATCTGGGTAAAACAACAGCTTGTAACGACTCAGTTTACCGGCTCAGGTATTATAACACCTGCCTGGGCTGCCTGGGGAAAGAAACCTAGTAATGATGGTTGAGATCATCTCTCAATGAGAAGGCACCCATTTTAAAGTCCTTTGGCACACGCAGGGTTGGGTAGGTTACTTTCTAAATGTGATCCGTTACAGTTACTAGTTACCTGTCCAAAATTGTAATCAGTAATGTAACTTTTGGATTACTTACCCTCAAGAGGCCGTCACGCCCTGACTCTAGGGATTTGTATTGGTTGAGTCAGGGTGTGTATTTTCTGTGTTGGGTTTGTCTATGTTAGTTTCTATATCGTTTAGATCTATGTTGGCCAGGGTGGTTCCCAATCAGAGGCAGCTGTAGCTCATTGTCTCTGATTGGGGACAATACTTAGGTAGCCTGTTGGCACTAGTGGGGTGTGGGATCTTGTTCCGTGTGAGGTATGTTATTTGTCTACCTTGGACTTCACGTTTCGTTTGTTGTTTTGTCGTGTGTTTAGTCGTCAATAAACATGAATGCATATCACGCTGCGCCTTGGTCCGTCTCGTCCGTAAACGATCGTGACAGAAGATCCCACCAATCCTGGATCAAGCAGCGTGACGAGGAGAGAGGATGGACTTGGGAGGAGATGAGCGAGAGTCTGGCAAGAGGGATGGAGGCCATGATCACGGGGGAGAGACAAGCCCAAACATTTTTTAGGGGGGGGCTCATGCCGTGGACGACGAGGCAGCAGGAGGCCGCGATAGAGCGGTTCAGCCATTTAGCAGAGGAGGCCGCCAGATTAAGGGGGTCATTGGTTCAGAGGGAACAGAAGGAAAGTGTAGAGGCACGGCGAGAGGAGCTGGTTAGGCAGCAGAAGGAGCGGGGGTTAATGAAGGAACCCAGTCCCGCTCCTCGCACCAATCAAGTGGTGCGTGTCGCCAGTCCGGTCCGGCCCGTTCCTGATTCCCGCACTAAGCCAGTGGTGGGTGTTCCCAGTATGGTTCGGCCCGTTCCTGCTCCTCGCATCAAGCCAGTGGTGCACATCGCCAGCCCGGTCCGGCCTGTTCCTGTCCCTCGCACCAAGCCAGTGGTGCGCGTCGCCAGCCCGGCCCGGCCTGTTCCTGCCCCGTGCACCAAGCCAGTGGTGCGCGTCGCCAGCCCGGCCTGTTCCTGCTCCCCGCACGAGGCCAGTGGTGCGCGTCGCCAGTCCGGTACGGCCCGTTCCTACTCCCCGCACCAAGCCAGTGGTGCGCGTCGTCAGCCCAGTCCGGCCTGCTCCCCGCACCAAGCCAGTGGTGCGCGTTGTCAGCCCGGCCCGTTCCTGCTCCCCGCACCAAGCCAGGGGTGCGCGTCGTCAGCCCAGTCCGGCCCGTTCCTGCTCCCCGCACCAAATCAGTGGTGCGTGTGTCCAGTCCGGCACGGCCCGTGCCTGTTCCACCGGTGCCTGGTCCAGCTCCGGTCAGCGGCTCCACTCCGGAGCCAGAGCAATCCGCTCCACCGGGGTCCAGTCCAGCTCCGGCCAGCGGCTCCACTCCGGAGCGCCCACCCGGCCCCTACCCTGTTAGGTTTATGTGGCGCGGTCGGAGTCCGCACCTTTGGGGGGGGGGGGGGGGGTGGTACTGTCACGCCCTGACTCTAGGGACTTGTATTGGTTGAGTCAGGGTGTGTATTTTCTGTGTTGGGTTTGTCTATGTTAGTTTCTAGATCGCTTAGATCTATGTTGGCCAGGGTGGTTCCCAATCAGAGGCAGCTGTAGCTCGTTGTCTCTGATTGGGGACCATACTTAGGTAGCCTGTTGGCACTAGTGGGGTGTGGGATCTTGTTCCGTGTGAGGTATGTTATTTGTCTACCTTGGACTTCGTTTCGTTTGTTGTTTTGTCGTGTGTTTAGTCGTCAATAAACATGAATGCATTTCACGCTGCGCCTTGGTCCGTCTCGTCCGGAAACGATCGTGACAGAGGCATTCGATTTTTGCTGGTAACGTAACTGATTACATATTTTTTTATTTTTTATTATGTAATCAGTTACTCCCCAGCCCTAGGATATTTTTTCCAGATCTCACATGCCTTTTTAGTGCAAATTACAGACATTGAGGGTGTTTCAAATGCCTGTGTGTAGGCTACTAGCACTGTTCACTGGAATCAATTATCTCTCTTTTCTTATCTTCTAGCAGCCTCCAGTTTCAGTTTCTGCCGGCCTGCTGTGGAGCATAGGGCACTGCCTGAGGACTTCAAGCACTTGAGTCGACAGACGGGAGGGAACCTTACCTGGCATGACGGGCGTGGTCAGAAAACAGCAGGGGGCCGGACAGTGAAGCTGCTCCAACAGCCTGGGACAGAGAGCTATCAGGTAGAGTACCTCAACCACTCTGGATCTATGTGTGAAATCAAATCAACTCACATTTGATTGGTTGCATCCACCCCATCTCTAATCGTTGTAGGCCTATTCTAGATGCACATGCAAATAAGAAAAGGAAAGAGCTTCATAGGTTTTCATTCATCTCAGATCAGTCTAAGAAAGCCTTTGTTTTCCACTATTAATTGATGTGTATGTAAGCTTCTCTCTAGCCCTCTGTAATATACCAACACAAAGGCTTCTCTCTTCTCAAAGATCAAATATTTCAAAAATAATCTGACAAATGCAATGGACTATCTGGTGACCATCCATTGTTCCAACATGAGCAGCACTTTGTTTGTGGAGAATGGAAGATGCTGTTAACCCAGAGGGCTATGAGGCACTCAGCTGGTCCAACGTTTTAGAATGGATTTAAATAGAACTACTGGCCTTCCTATGTGCAGAAGCACCAGCACTTGTCTTTGGACTGAGAGCGAAAAGGGGCAATATACCGTATGACATCTAATGGCTGTAGTGAACCTTACAGTATGTGCTCTTAAATATATGTTTTATAACAAAGCATTTCTATCTATTTCAATTAATGGTATCTGATATAATATGGTATCCCCTTCATGTGGTATTACAGCACAATTAACCTTTTGTGTTCTAAATTTACTTTTAAATCTCAATTTCGACATGCCTGGTTTTTGACCAATTCATGAATAATTCTCTGCTATACATTGGGGTTTCCGAGTCCCCTACAAATTCTGGTTGATGACAGAGACCGTTTTTCAGTCCCGTTGCATGTATGCATGCATAGGCTTCATTCTTTGTGTCTTTCAAGATCAATGCAATGTGTTACAGAATCTTGTATCATGAATGTCCGTGCTGAAAAATGCAGGGAGAGAGCTTGTTTGTTTTTTTTGTTTGCTGGGGGGGTGTAAGCACTAGCATGTTGAGTTCCAACCTTTTGAACTTTACGTGGGGCTGCCCTACTCTGGAGAAGAAGAGAAGGCAGGAGAGAACACTGCATTCATTGATTTTAAAAGTGAATGAATGATCAAGGGCTTCATTTGATTAGTCACCCACATCCTGCTCAGATTCCAAAGGAAGGAATTTGGTATTTGGATAAGACTGACCCACATGTTCCCTGGTCTTCGGGTTTCAGATGTATGTATGCGTTTGATCTGCAGGGGGACCCTTTTATATGATAGTCCTCATTAGTAATGGGTTTAGTGTGTATGTATGCCAAAATGAGAGCAATGACACCCTGCTGCTTGGAGTGTGTGTGTGTGTCCATGTGTGTGTCTGTGTGTACTCTTTTGTCAGAAGTGCAGTGGTTGCAGAGATAAGGTAGTATGTGACCATAAATAAAGGAAGGGAAAGTCACTCACATCACTATATTCTTGGGAACTGCATTGACATGCATCATATCTGTGTGGCTAACATCATGAAAGTGGTCCATGGTGACCTACAGAATTAACATTAAGTAAGGAAGGATCTCTGGGTGTCTGAACAGATTCCTTGATGGATGTGCTTATGTCTGACTGAAGTTGTGGAGTGGTCATCCCTTGGGGTACTCAAGGTTAAAACACTGCACATACTGTACATATAAGGGGTAGCGGGACTGAGAGATAATGCAAGCAGTAGAGGGCCATTACGGAAATATGCTGAACTTTTCTCCTCTACTGTGTGCGTGCTCATGTTTCAGCGTTGTTCAGGTGACTTCTATGGAATCTACCACACCAGCCCCACCCAGCCCAGTCTGATCCGACCTGTGGTGTTATGGACTCAACAGGACGTCTGCCGATGGTTGAAGAAACACTGTCCTCACAACTACCTGACCTACGTCGAAGCCTTCTCTCATCACGCCATCACAGGTATCAACCAGGACAAGTGCACTACCACGAAAATCATCATTTACAATCATAAAATGAGAGTGGAATACAGTTGACGTGAGTGGCTGGCAGAGTAGTGTCAGTTGAATCAATATGCTTGTTGTGATACTCTTTACCCTTCACGCCATCACAGGTATCAACTAGTACACATGTACTAGCACAAAAAACATAATTCATAATAATGGAATGTGAGTAGAATACACAATACAGTGGGTGTGGATGAGTAGTAACAGTTGAATTGCTAAGCTTTTAATGGCAGCCTCCTCTCTCTGTTCCATGTCAGGCCGTGCTCTGTTTCGTCTGAATGGAGAGAAGTTGGAGAGGATGGGCTTGGTGCAGGAGACACTGAGGCAGGAGCTCCTACATCAGGTGCTTCAACTGCAGGTGCAAGAGGAGGAACGTAACCTGCAGCTCCTTAGCAGAGGTGAACACTGAGTTTTATTTTTGTGAGTGTGTGTAAAATGACTGGTAACGTTTGGATGCAATTCTATCGGTTACTGTTTTTTCCTCTCCTTTTTTATTTTCCTAGGTGGCTCTTTTGGGAATCTGTCATAACATGGAGATTACTTTCCTAACTGGACTGTTTACAGTGAACACTGAAAAAACATATAGAGCACTTCAACTGTGTGCATGCAGGGAGACTACTGTACAACGGTCAGAAATCAGGACTGCAATATGAACCACATGGATGTCACACCCTGGCTCTGGGACTCTATTTGTTGAGCCAGGGTGTGTTCATTCTATGTGTTTATTTTCTATGTTGGGGGTTCTAGTTCGTCATTTTCTATGTTTGACTGAGTGACTCCCAATCAGAGGCAACGAGTGTCAGCTGTTTGCTGGTTGTCTCTGATTGGGAGCCATATTTAACTGTCTGTGTTTCACTTGGTGTTTGTGGGTTTTTGTTCCTTGTCGGTCTTTGTCACCGTGGACTTCACGAGTCGTTTATTGTTTTGGTTTTGTGCTTTAATATAATAAAGTATCATGTTCGCTCAACACGCTGCGCATTGGTCTACTTCGCTTCAAGACGATCGTGACAGAAAAACCCACCATACCAGGACCAAGCAGCGTGTCCAGGAGCAGGCAGCCTGGTCATGGGAGGAGATATTAGACGGGAAAGGGTCCTGGACCTGGGAGGAGATCCTGGCCGGGATGGATCGCCGGCCATGGAGTGAGACGGTGGAGAGGCGACGGAGAGAGGAGCAGCGGCGTCAGCAGGGTCAACGTCGGACAGGCGAGAGGCAACCCCAAAAAAAATTTAGGGGGGGGCACACGGCAGGGACGACGAGGGAGCAGGAGGTAGTGTTGCAGAGGATGGAGCATTTGGAGGCGATAAGGGAAAGGGTGAGAAATGAGGCACGGCGAGAGGAACTCGGTAGGCAGCTGAGGGAGCGGGGGGTTATGACGAAACCCAGTCCCGCTTCTCACACCAAGCAAGTGGTGTGCGTCACCAGTCCGGTCCGGCCCGTTCCTGCTTCCCGCACTAAGTGTAAGGTGCACGCCGCCAGCCCAGCCCGGCATGTTCCTGCCCCTCGCACCAAGCCTACGGTGTGCGTCGCCAGCCCAGCCCGGCCTGTCCCTGCTCCACGCACCAAGCCTACGGTGTGCGTCGCCAGCCCAGTCCGGCCAGTTGCTGCTCCACGCACCAAGCCTACGGTGTGCGTCGCCAGCCCAGCCCGGCCTGTCCCTGCTCCACGCACCAAGCCTACGGTGTGCGTCGCCAGCCCAGCCCGGCCTGTTCCTGCTCCACGCACCAAGCCTACGGTGTGCGTCGCCAGCCCAGTCCGGCCAGTTGCTGCTCCACGCACCAAGCCTACGGTGTGCGTCGCCAGCCCAGTCCGGCCAGTTGCTGCTCCACACACCAAGCCTACGGTGTGCGTCGCCAGCCCAGCCCGGCCTGTCCCTGCTCCACGCACCAAGCCTACGGTGTGCGTCGCCAGCCCAGTCCGGCCAGTTGCTGCTCCACGCACCAAGCCCACGGTGTGCGTCGCCAGCCCAGCCCGGCCTGTCCCTGCTCCACGCACCAAGCCTACGGGGTGCGTCGCCAGCCCGGCCCGGCCTGTCCCTGCTCCACGCACCAAGCCTACGGTGTGCGTCGCCAGCCCAGTCCGGCCTGTTCCTGCTCCACGCACCGAGCCTACGGTGTGCGTCGCCAGCCCAGCCCGGCCTGTCCCTGCTCCACGCACCAAGCCTACGGGGTGCGTCGCCAGCCCGGCCCGGCCTGTCCCTGCTCCACGCACCAAGTCTACGGTGCGCGTCACCAGCCCGGTCCGGCCTGTTCCTGCCACTCGCACCAAGTCTACGGTGCGCGTCGCCAGCCCGGCCCGGCCCGTTCCTGCCACTCGCACCAAGCCAGGGGTGCGAGTCGTCAGTCCGGCACAACCCGTGCCTGGGTCATCGGTGCCAATTCAGGTACCGCTCAACTGCTCCACTAAGGAGCTGAAGCCTACCGCTCCTGCTACGTCCAGTCCAGCTCCAGCCAGCGGGGCCAGACCGGACCAGGGGCGCTATGGGGGGTTTGTTGGAGGGTGGTGGGCAAGCCCGGAGCCAGAACCGCCGCCGAGGAGGAATGCCCACCCAGCCCTCTCCTGTTTTGCTCGTATTTAGGCGCGGTCGCAGTCCGCGCCTTTAGGGGGGGGTACTGTCACACCCTGGCTCTGGGACTCTATTTGTTGAGCCAGGGTGTGTTCATTCTATGTGTTTATTTTCTATGTTGGGGGTTCTAGTTCGTCATTTTCTATGTTTGACTGAGTGACTCCCAATCAGAGGCAACGAGTGTCAGCTGTTTGCTGGTTGTCTCTGATTGGGAGCCATATTTAACTGTCTGTGTTTCACTTGGTGTTTGTGGGTTTTTGTTCCTTGTCGGTCTTTGTCACCGTGGACTTCACGAGTCGTTTATTGTTTTGGTTTTGTGCTTTAATATAATAAAGTATCATGTTCGCTCAACACGCTGCGCATTGGTCTACTTCGCTTCAAGACGATCGTGACAATGGAAACCATGAACTTTAACAAGGACACATGGGATGATCACATGCAGCATCAAACGCAGACAGAAAAGGAAGGGGAGTACAGGACAATCAATAGAGCACAGCCCCAAGTTTAGAAAGTTGGGTATCTGTTTTCCATCAACCAAAGGGACAGACTATTTCAGTTCCATCTGTTTGGACTGAAATCAAAGATCATGATTATAGACTCTGTCAGGATTGGTTGTTGGTGGTTGTCTTGTAGCCCATTTTTATGTTATTCTATGTTTTATCCTAACAGTTGCAAGGTTGTGAATGATTCATGTTTGTCTCACTGTTCCTTTAGAAGTATCCTATAGATAGAATACTCTGATCTATGATTTATTTGTGAATGCACTCTAATCCGGGTTTTCAATGGGTTTATTTGAATAGATTTTTGTGAGATACATTATTGGGTAAAGGCTCCTTATTTCTGACAAATAAAATGTATTATGTCATTTACACTGGCCTACATGGTTTTTGTGTGTCATTTGACTCCAGTCCACTGCTGGTGGACCGTGGAGATAAACTACGTTACCCACAATCCTCATCTAAGATGACAGTATCCCTACTGAATGCCAGTGGAGGCTCCACAGAGGAGGAAGGGGAGAACCATCCTCTGTGAATTTCATAAAAATATTGAAACATTTAAAAAGTTATCCTTTTTAGATAAAACTATATCAAAAATATTCACGTCACCAAATAATTAAAACACACTGTTTTGCAATGAAGGTCTACGGTAGCCTCAACAGCGCTCTGTAGGTTAGCACCATGGTGTAGCCTGAGGACAGCTAGTTTTCATCCTCCTCTGGGTACATTGACTTCAAAACAAAATCTAGGAGGCTCATGGTTCTCACCCCCTTCCATAGACTTACACAGTAAGAATGTCATCCAACCTATCAGAGCTCTTGCAGAATGAACTGACATGTTGTCCACCCAATCAAAGGATCAGATAATAAATATAGAACTGAAAGCATAAGCTACAGCTAGCAAGCACTGCAGTGCATAAAATGTGGTAAGTAGTTAACTCAAAGAGAAAGACAATAGTTGAACAGTTTAGAACAAAATAATTTCTTTAAAAATGAAGGAGAAGTAAGAGAGAGCTATATTTCGTAGTATTTTTATTTCACTTTTACTTTCACTTAGCTAGCGAATATAGTTTAGCCTACTCAAACACCCGGCTCAAAGAGAGAGGGATGCTATGTTAGCTAGCTTGCTATGGCTATTCAACACTGGAACTCCCGAGTGGCGCAGTGGTCTAAGGCACTGCATCACAGTGCTAGCTGTGCCACTAGAGATCCTGGTTCGAATCCAGGCTCTGCTGTAGCCGGCCGCAACCGGGAGACCAATGGGGCGGCGCACAATTGGCCCAGCGTCGTCCAGGGTAGGGGAGGGAATGGCCGGCAGGGAGGTAGCTCAGTTGGTAGAGCATGGCGTTTGCAACGCCAGGGTTGTGGGTTCGATTCCCATGGGGTATGAAAATCAAAAATAATAATGTATGCACTAACTGTAAGTCGCTCTGGATAAGAGCGTCTGCTAAATGACGTAAATGTAAATGTAACTCTTCCAAGTCAAGGCTTTTGGTTTTATTAATTTATTGCCAACGGGGCCCGCCGGTGTTACTGCTAAACTGCTTTCTGACTGTACACTGTACTGCATGATGTGGTCCTCTGTAGCTCAGCTGGTAGAGCACGGCGCTTGTAACGCCAAGGTAGTGGGTTCGAACCCCGGGACCACCCATACACAAAAAAATGTATGCACGCATGACTGTAAGTCGCTTTGGATAAAAGCGTCTGCTAAATGGCATATTATTATTATATTATGATTGTAGTGGGTTAACTAACGCGTTAGTTCTAGTAGCTATGTTGACTATGACGTTAGCTAATATGGTGACAACAATGTAGGCTGTGTGTAGCGGTTAGTGGTTATGATACAAATGTTTGGTTTGGAAAGGTTTTTCCCCTGGTCACAGACAGCTGGTGTGTTGTGCACTGAAGTCCACAAATGAAGGGAAAAAGTGAGAGGAGGAGAGTGTGTAGATGTGAGAAGGAAATATAGAACGAGTAAAATGATCATGCTGTTTGTATGTGGCTGCTATGAAAGTGAACTTTGTTTGCTTGTGATCAGCCGATTCTGTTAAATGGAAGCAAACTGAACTAAACGGGGATAAACATACCTGAATTTGTCCAATAGAAATGATTGTTTGCAACTGTTGGACTAATGATTGCACCCTAGATCAGCTAGATGCAGTCAAGAGTGTGCAAGGAAGATTTGAATGTGTGACTGTCTGTCACCTTGATTACTCAATTTTCTCTCTCTACCTGTGCACGTACAGTACCAGTCAAAAGTTTGGACACACCTACTCATTCCAGGGTTTTCTTTATTTTCTACCAAGAAGGAGTGTGATGGAGTGCTACATCAGATGACCTGGCCTCCACAATCCCCAGACCTCAACCCAATTGAGATGGTTTGGGATGAGTCGGACCGCAGGCTGCTGTGCTGCTGTGCTGATCACAGCAGCCTATGCGTCCTCGATGTAGCCTAATCTACTACTGTATAATTTGACCTCCCCAAGCGCAGTGGGTTTGTTCAGTTGGTACAAATTTCCAGCTGTGCTTAACATTTTACTTTTTTTTTTACATTTTAGTCATTTAGCAGACGCTCTTATCCAGAGCGACTTACAGGAGCAATTAGGGTTAAGTGCCTTGCTCAAGGGCACATCGACAGATGTTTCACCTAGTCGGCTCGGCGATTAGAACCAGCGACCTTTCGGTTACTGGCACAACGCTCTTACCCACTAAGCTATCTGCCGCCCCAACCTTAACACACAGTCAAGGTTGTCTATATAGAAGAATGTTTAAAGTAGTGTACATTTTATTAAATTACCAGGTGGTTACTGAATCAGATATCAAATTTGATCATTAACCAATTATTATTTTAATGCGCCTGGAATGTCGTCGCCAATAAAGTGTCTGTCACCAAGCAGACGCGTAATAGGATCAGTCTAATGGACATCTGCCTTAGATCTACCACATAACACAACAGAATGACTTACAATTTATTGCATTGCTCTGCTATCAATATGTATCTGTTGAAGTTGTAGTATTTGGGTGTATGTAGTTTTAAGCGTTATAATAACTAGGTAGAGAATGGTAAGAAATGCAGTGACATCAATTGCCACATGCTGTCCATTCAATGGACACATGCTGAATGAAATGCAGTGCCCTGGCATTGTGCAAGAAAGATGCTGATAAACATGATAAAATAAAACAGACACTGAACTCAGGTCAGAGTCTTAATGAGACAAACACTTGCCCTGCAATACTATGCCTGCCTGCCCTTCTTGGAGCATTGCACATTAGCCTTGACTCACTCCAGCCATTCTAATACCATGTTGAGGTCTGGCTCACTCGCGAGACTATGAACTTGAAGATGAAGATCAACAGAGGAAGTCCTGGTGTAAACAGGCCTCTATTAATAACAGCCAAGCAACTCTGTGATCCTCTTAAACACACTCAGACTACAGAGGGAGGGAGGGCAAGTGGCCAAAGTGGAGGGCTAAAAGGAGAGAAGTGGTGACATTTTTCTTTCTCCCCTCTGAGCTGAGATGAAGAAAGGTATAGGAGAAGAGGAAAGGAGAGTATGTAGCGGAGCCTTAGAGACAGGCTGGATTCAGTGGGTACATTGTGACAAAGGTCTGAAGAGACATCCAGAGGTTGTGTCTCCATGTAAAGTGTGTCAGGTGGATTGTACATGTGTTTCTTTGGGGGTTACCCTTAACCACGTCTGCTGCCTCAGTAAGCGTTAGCCTGTGTGAGCGCTACTGTGTGAGTAGTGAGTACTGTACCGGTTGGGCGTGAGCTGGCAGACAGCCAGCTGTCCTTGTCCAAGGCAAATATGTCTCTGCCTGCATACACTGGCGCCAGAATCTCAGGCTGCTGGACCATGAGGGCCCGAAGGTAAGTGGTCTGTTTACATAGTGTTGTCCATGCTTATTGGATTGGATGCCATCTGTCTGTGTTTGAGCACTGAACAACCACAGACAGGGCTGTAGAATTAATTCTGCCTGTGTGTGTGTGTTGAGGGTGTTCTCCCATCCCATGTCAGTTGAGACATGCTGATGATGAGAGGTGCAGGGAAATGCATGATCTATCTACCAAAAATATATGTTTTCAAACTAACCAAGATGTTTTATGTTGGTGCTTTAGTGGAGCCTGAACAGTACTAAATGTGGATTCAGAGTCTGATGTAACCATTAGGCTGTTTTTTAACCTTCAATTGAGCTTGATAGTAAACAAGGGTGTGAGGGTGTTGGTATAAACCTTATCAGTGACGTTATCTGTGACGATAAGGACCATTATAGTCCTTTATAACACTCCAGCTTTGACTGTAAAAGGATATGACCCTCACTGTCCTCTCTCAGATTTGAATGAAACGAGAACCTATAAAACGTCCATCCCTTTTCTGGTATTTGTACTGATATTCTACCCATAGCTCTATGTAAATAACATGTTAGAAACCCTTTCCTGCAGTCAAATGACCAAATCGCCCTTTAGTGGTGTTGGTGAAACCATAATATGGAGAGGAAGTACAAAACCAACGACGCTAGACGGAGAGGAATTTGCTTAAGCAAAAGGCAGTTTATTTAACACAGAGATAGCTGGTACTGCTCAAGCTACATGCATGGGATCCTGCTAATTAACATGCATGGACCTAATCATATGCCACGCTAATAGTGTCAGCTGAGAAGGATAAAAAACAGAGTTTACAGCATTACTTTATACAATGTAACATAGAGGAAGGGGTCCTTCTTCTAGTCCTTTGATTGGTTCCCGAGGCGTAGGAGGCGGGTCTGCTCTGTCCAGAGCAGAAGCCTCATTGGTGCACGGCAGAGTCCTCTGCCCTTGGCACCCGACCAGTAGAAAGAAGTGGAGTGAAATGTCTGTGTGGTGTGTGTCAAAGAACTCGTGAGGCATGAGAATGAGTGTGTGTATGTCTCAAGGGAAACTCGTGGGGAGCATCAGTGATTGTGGCCTGTGGCGTGGGTGTTGTCCTTGACAAGATATGGTCCTCTGTCCATTGTTCTTGCATAGGAACAGCATTGATTGAAAACAAGCTCCTAACACAAAATGGGTCATGCACAACATTTTAGTCAGACCAAGCTATAACATTTTATATTTACTACGACAGTGGCCTCATGGGTGGAATGTTATTAATATTATTTATTTATTTTATGCCGAAAATCCAGTGTTTCTACGTCAAACGGTTTTGTTATATTTCAGTCTTCGGTGATGTATACAAAGTGTAATATTGGGATGCAAACTCAAAATGTAATACATTTCAACTCTATATCTGACATAGTACAGGTGACTTATTTTTTTAAGCCCATAATCATGTGTGTGAAGTGTATACCTTTGTTTCAAAGTTAATTTGTTTAAGACTACCAAGAAACTGTCACGGTTTCGGCCGAGGCTGCTCCTCCTCCTTGTTCGGGCAGGCTTCGGCGGTCGTCGTCCCCGGAGTACTAGCTGCCACCGTTTGATGTTTCATGTTTGTTTGGTTTTGTCTGTTTGTACACCTGTCCCTTGTTAGTGTTTGATTTGGTTGCCTATTTAGTTTTGTGTGTGGGGGCAGGTGTTATGTGGTATTGTTTATTGTCAAGCTGTTGCTCTTTTGTATTACTCTCGTGTTTGTTGTTTTCCGAGAGTCCGCACTGTGTGCGCTATCTTCATTTTACGCACTGTGTGTGTTGTGCGTAATTTGTATTTTGCCTCCCGGTTGGGTTGGCTGTTCGCCTGTTTGGTGCTGCATTTTGTTAACTAAAGTCTGTTGACGAACGCCCGTGTTTCCTGCGCTTGATTTCCTCACCGCATATACACTCAGCTACTGACAGAAACACTCTGTGTGACCCATATTTACCCCACTGCAGTAAATTATTGATGATATAATGGTTGTTGTGTCACAGTGGTAGTGGGGAAGACTCGTTGGACCGGCTCCTGCCTTGCCCCCCTATCTTCACCGCCGTACGCAGGAAGAGCACATCCCAGACTAAGACAGAACCGCCCCGGCTCCGCACTGGCACACGCACCATCTACACAGCAGGTAGACCCCCCTGGTACGATGAGCATGGTGCACAGTCCAAAGAGGCCTTCGTCATCGGTATGACATTCATGGGTGTATGCCTTATTTTGTTGTCATGGGGTGAAGTGTTACTCAGGTGTTTTGCGGTTATATATGGAGTTTTGTAATGGTCTTTCCTTATTCTTGACATGTTGTTGTACTCAAACATACATGTCTGTTTGTCTGTGCAGGGTTGTGTGGGGGCAGTGCTTCAGGGAAGATCACATGCCCAGTTAGATCATCGAGGCTCTGGATGTCCCCTGGTTAGTGTTGTTGTCAATTGACTCCTTCTACAAGGTGAGAGACTGTCATTCATTTGGCTTGCTTGGGCTTTAGCCTTTCGGAGATGTTACTGTAGGTTCCTCACAACAGCCTGGAGCCTTATTGACAGACATGTCACCCTTGTAATACTGTATGAATGAGCCTACCCACAATCCCTCATTCTTAATGATGTTAATCACATGTTAAGCACATGGGGAAAAGACTGTCTACAGCCTGGGTAATCCCATCCCTCCCTTCCTTCCTTCCGCCCATCATGTCTGTTTATAGACCAGCAGGGAACAACACGCATCCTGTCCCATGGACTCAACATACACACACACACATACACACACATTCACCCTTCCCTCATACCCTTACCCTGTGAAAGATCCCATTGTGTTTCTGTGTCCATCCATCCCTGAAGTTTGTTCTCCTATACTCCCTAGGTTCTGACCCCTGAGGAACAGACCCTGACAGCCAGTAACGACTACAACTTTGACCACCCAGGGGCGTTTGACTTTGAGCTGCTGGTGGCCACTATGCAGCGGCTCAAACAGGGCAAGAGTGTCAAGATCCCAGTGTATGACTTCACTACACACGGCAGACAGAAAGACTGGGTGAGTGCAGAACTGATGAGAGGCCATGTACCAAGGGAAAACTGTAGATATAACTGGCAGCTGTTGCAGTTCTGAGCATTTATGTTGTCTCTGTCTCTCCCCTCTGTAGAGAACGTGTATGGTGCCAGTGTGGGCATCTTTGAGGGGATCATGTCCTTTGCAGACGAATAGCTTTTGGAGGTAAGGCTGTATGATCATCACGTCTAGGGTTTCTGACCTCTTTACTGAATCAGTCGAGTCCTCTGTGACTGCAAGGTACACGAACATAGTTCTCTATTGCTGCTCTGTGTCCAGCTCCTAGACATTAAGATCTTTGTGGACACTGACTCAGACATCTGGCTGGTACGTCGGCTGCGCAGGGACATCACAGAGCGCGGGCGGGACATCGAGGGGGTCATCAAGCAGTACAACAAGTTTGTGAAGCCTGCATTTGAGCAGTACATCGAACCCTAAATTTGGCTGGCAGACATCGTTGTGCCACGAGATGAGGGATTCAGCACTAGCCTGTTGAAATTTCAAAAGTGCAATATATCTGCATTCATTTTGGTATCTGCCTGTCTCGATTTAATGTGTTAGCCATTAGAAGCTAATACCCATATGACGGCATATATATCCTGAAGATATACTATTATTTTGTAGCTAATATTCTGTGCAGATATTTTATAATGTTAATTATAAGGTAGCCATATGAGCTAGCGAAATGTTTCTGACCAAATGAAAATATGTTGTTTCCATGTGAAAATATGTTGCATATGTCTACCTCTGCCAGGTGGTGGTAACATGGTGGCCATTGACCTGATCGTCCAACATGTTCACAAGCAGATGGAGGAGGTGAGTGAGCCGCAGAACAGAAGAGAGAAACAGAAGAGCAGAGAGAAGAGAAGAGAGAGCTCGTTCTTCTAGAACTATCTAGATAGGAGAGAGGGGAGAGAGAGGCAGAGCAGAAGAGAGAGAGAAGATGAGAGGAGAGATCTCTATCTCTCTTCTCTCTCTCTCTCTCTCTATCTCTCTCTCTCTCCTCTCTCTCTATCTCTCTCTCTCCTCTCTCTCCCTTCTCTCTCTCTCTCCTCTCTCTCTCTCTCTCTCTCTCTCTCTCTCTGCAGCATGAGCTTTTGCAATGGTGTTATTCAGAATACCCCCACCAGGTGTCTCAGTGTGACTACATGGTTGACTTTTATTGAAGAACTAGTGGGAGAGCAGAACAGTCTCTTGTCATTGTCACCTATTCAAATGTATTCTCCTTTGTGTTGTTTCGTCCTGGCCTTGGCCCAGCAGTATGATTTTACATAATGTAACTGACTTCATCCCTGTTGTATCATATCACAGCCCTGCACGGTACAGACCCCACAGGGCCAGGAGTATGAGGGGAAAATGGGTGGGTACTATACAGTCATGGGTAGTACTCCTATTTCGCTCTACTGTGTTCGTTTGGCGTTCCTTTCTAATAGTGCAGATTTTGTGTGTTTGTAGCCATGTTGAAGCTGCATCCTCCTCTCTCCAGATCACAGGTGTGTCCATCCTGCGGGCAGGGGAGACCATGGAGCCTTCCCTGAGGGCGGTGTGTAAAGATGTCCGCATTGGCAAGATCCTCATCTAAACCAACCTAGACTCAGGACAACCAGAGGTACTTTAGAACGTAATAGAATAGATCTTTATTGGCTGAAGAGAGAAGTGGTCCTGTTTAGAAAAGTCACACTTATATCCACCTCACTGGGTGTCTCCCTAGTAACCGGATCTGCCTCCTCCACCTCCTGATCATATCTCCGTGGTAACCCTGTTTCTCCTTCCTCCTCTCTCTGCCCATCCCTTTCCAGCTGCATTACCTGCATCTGCCCAAAGACATCAGTGAGGACCATGTCATTCTAATGGACAGCACTGTGTCTACAGGCGCTGCAGCCATGATGGCTGTGAGGGTCCTATTGGTAAAGTGGCAATTGACATCCCTATCCCATAATAACTGATAGCCCCACTACTTCATGATTAATCACTAATCATTATAGTAACCATATAATTATAATTAGTAAGTTCTGTTTCTATGAAAGTAACCCCCATTACTCACCACACTAAATGGTTGGGTTTTAAAAAGATGGCATAGCATTGATTGTGTGTTGTGTTAAATGAGTGTTGTGATGTATCTGTGCAGGACCACGAGGTGCAGGAGGAGAACATTGTGCTGGTTTCTCTGCTGATGGCAGAGTTGGGGGTGCACTCGGTGGCCTACGCCTTCCCCAAGGTCAAAATCATCACCACCGCCGTGGACAAGGGTGTTGATGACTTCCTGCAAGTCATTCCTGGGATTGGTGGGTTTGGCTCTGATGTAGCACTCCAGTTATGTGTTATGGACAGTGGTGGAAGTTAGTGATGTACGTATTCTGTACTCCATGTAATGTAAGTTAACTCAGTGGTATACAACTCTAACTGAGTATCTGTGTGTTCTGTTGATACAGGGGACTTTGGGGACCACTACTTTGGGACAGATGGTGGAACATCAGTCTGGAGTGATGATGAGGAACAGGAGCGACCCAAACAACAAACATGAACGGGATTCTGTGAAACACAAGGTTAAAGGCTAGCCTCGTGAAACCAGACTGTGTGCATGCCAGATCAGGCTGGTTTAACAAGACAAGTTAAGGGCAGGACTTCCTGGCAACACCAGTCACATTCCATTAAGCTGCTATACAGTAGAGTGGACCCAACAAATGGTTCTCTATAAACAAGTCAATACTCAAATGTATGTACAATACATTTTGTATTCTATTTTATGGTTTATATTAGATTTTAACGGGGCATTATTGTTCTATTTATAAGGTTGGATTGTTCAGTTCTGGACTGCTCAAGCAAGCTAATGTTTGTAATGTATATGGTGCTACATGAAACTGAATCAATTTCATCCCCTCTGAAGACACTATCTTGAAATCACCTAGCTTTTTTTTTTATCACCAAAGGTTGTATACTGTACCTCAGATGATAATTGGCAATTGTATATTAAATATAACATTATTGAAAGTTGATGTATGTTTTATTAGGTAGAGAAGCTTTCTAGCCTGTAGGGGGGAGCATTGTTCAATTATAGTTGCTGTGTTGCCAAGTGTGCTCCCAGATACTCAATGTACACTAGAAACCACACGATGGCCTGTAATTGGTGCATTTCATTCAACTCATTTCATTGAGTGAATTGACAAATCATGTACAGGGAAATTGCCCATTATTTTCAAGTATTTGAAAAGGTATTGAAATTTGAAAGGTAGTGAGTGGAAATTGTATTGAATCCTCTCCACCCATGATAGAGATAATGGAAAACAGTCACTAGAAATGTGTTGAGGATGATCTTCACCTGAACAAAGAGATCATGACATGTCCTGATGTCCAATGCTAAATACCAAATATTACTTCCAAATCTTACCCCAATTTTTTAGGGGTGTGACATCCATTCATTTGTTACGTTTATTGTATTCATTTTTACCTAACATAGTATACACACATGTATGAGTGTTGAATGTATTTTATCTCTGCCTCTATGATTGACAAGCATAGCCTACATTTAGAGTCATGAGAGAACACTGTTTTGGGGGAATCTCTTTTTCTCTGTGATAACCCTTCCAGAGTGGGTGACTGTTATCATGGATGTCATGCTGTATTCTCCAAGACAGCACAAGACTCCGCCTGCCCATGTGACTACTGCCTCAAGGTTAACCTGTTACTATGGAGACAAGCCCACCAATGAAAATTCAGCAGATGGTTGCGATGTTGACTGCAAAATTTTTGTTTTAAGGGTGACCTATTTTTTTCTACAGCTAGTCAGACACGCGCACACACACATACACACACATAAACAAGGATACTCACACACATCTAGACTGTTCTAGACTGTAGGAGGTTATGAGGATACACAGAATAAATCAGAAAATTTGATCTTTGTCACACTCAAAGATAGTAAACAAAAAAGCTTTTTAATTAATCTTAAGATTACAGTTTACCGCGCAGCCCAAAACTGAATCATGTTGGCCAAAATGACACATTTCCTTTGCAAAATGCATTAAGGCTCTCAAAACATTAAATACATGACGCAAAATCAACTACCTCCATCAAAACATACAACTTGTTATCTAATGAAAAATTATTTCAATCAATCGTTGCACAATGGCCCAATAAATACTAACTACAACTATCAATATTCCCTAACAGGGTTAACCCCCTTTTATATGTCTGTGCCATCTGTTGATACTATAATCATAAAAGGCAACTAAACATATTATTACAGCATGGGCTGTATTCTTTTTTTCCTAAAATGATTTTACCAAAGATGACCAATGCAGAAAGAATGTTACTCAAGAACATGCATATTCAGAAACAAAAGGCTTTATTTTACATTTTTTCATTTTAACTGAGAGCTGAACTATCTTCCTTTATGGACCCCTCTACCCCTCCTTTGTCCTTGCCCTCGGCCTCTTACTTGGTCCATTCTTGCAAACAGTAATTCAGAGGTGACCTTTTTTATGCATGAATAAGGACTGATTGCTGATTGAACAATTGTGCAAAGAAGTTTTGCACACATGCAGAAGAGGTTCACATTCATGGGAGTAATTTGTATCAGCTGTGAGTGTGACCAAATGTTTGAATTTGGTTTTGTCATGATTTACTCAACTGAGTTTTGCATCTTTTATAGAGTTGTGTTTACCGTTTTGCAAAAATGTCCTTAGAATTAGCATTGTGTGTGAAAGCAATGAGAAATGACTTACAGTTTCGCAAAAAAGAATACTGTTGTGCTCATTAGGTTATGAGGGAGATCAAGTGAACCACAGTTTCATTAAAAGTGTCTTAGCAATCGAGAAAAACTGTCATATTTTGACATGGCAAATTTGAACATTTATCTCTGGGAAATGCATGAGAGTGTAATTATGGAATAAAGTGAATGGCAGATTGTTTCCTCAATGATAATCACCCTTATATCTACTTGAATGCATCTGACTTTCTCAATGTCTTAATAGCCAATTAAATAATGTTTTCCTGTGATAAATCTGTAGCACTATTGAAGAACCTTTGGCTTCCATTAGTCATCACCAGTGTTTTTCAGAGTTTCCTTTGGTTTCAGGATCAGTTTGAAATTGCTATAAATTTTGCCTACAATGGGGGTTAAAGACAACCATGTGTTTGATTTACGAGTTTGATCTATGTCAATGCTTTGATCAAATTGTATTTGTCACATGCTTCGTAAACAACAGGTGTAGACTAAAAGTGAAATGCTTACTTACAGGTCCTTTTCCAACAATGCAGAGTTAAATATTTTTTTTAAATGGTTAAAAATAGAAATTGTGACACGAGGAACAAATACACAGTGGATAACGAATAATGATAACAAGTAAAGATAACAGCTACAGTGGGGCAAAAAAGTATTTAGTCAGCCACTATTTGTGCAAGTTCTCCCACTTAAAAAGATGAGAGAGGCCTGTAATTTTCATCATAGGTACACGTCAACTATGAAAGACAAATTGAGAAAAAAAAATCCAGAAAATCACATTGTAGGATTTTTTATGAATTTATTTGCAAATTATGGTGGAAAATAAGTATTTGGTCACCTACAAACAAGCAAGATTTCTGGCTCTCACAGACCTGTGACTTCTTCTTTAAGAGGCTCCTCTGTCCTCCACTCGTTACCTGTATTAATGGCATCTGTTTGAACTTGTTATCAGTATAAAAGACACCTGTCCACAACCTCAAACAGTCACACTCTAAACTCCACTATGGCCAAGACCAAAGAGCTGACAAAGGACACCAGAAACAAAATTGTAGACCTGCACCAGGCTGGGAAGACTGAATCTGCAATAGGTAAGCAGCTTGGTTTGAAGAAATCAACTGTGGGAGCAATTATTAGGAAATGGAAGACATACAAGACCACTGATAATCTCCCTCGATCTAGGGCTCCACGCAAGATCTCACCCCGTAGGGTCAAAATGATCACAAGAACGGTGAGCAAAAATCCCAGAACCACACGGGGGGACCTAGTGAATGACCTGCAGAGAGCTGGGACCAAAGTAACAAAGCCTACCATCAGTAACACACTACGCCGCCAGGGACTCAAATCCTGCAGTGTAAGACGTGTCCGCCTGCTTAAGACAGTAAATGTCCAGGCCTGTCTGAAGTTTGCTAGAGTGCATTTGGATGATCCAGAAGAGGATTGGGAGAATGTCATATGGTCAGATGAAACCAAAATAGAACTTTTTGGTAAAAACTCAACTCGTCGTGTTTAGAGGACAAAGAATGCTGAGTTGCATCCAAAGAACACCATACCTACTGTGAAGCATGGGGGTGGAAACATCATGCTTTGGGGCTGTTTTTCTGCAAAGGGACCAGGACGACTGATCCGTGTAAAGGAACGAATGAATGGGGCCATGTATCGTGAGATTTTGAGTGAAAACCTCCTTCCATCAGCAAGGGCATTGAAGATGAAACGTGGCTGGGTCTTTCAGCATGACAATGATCCCAAACACACCGCCCGGGCAATGAAGGAGTGGCTTCGTAAGAAGCATTTCAAGGTCCTGGAGTGGTCTACCCAGTCTCCTGATCTCAACCCCATAGAAAATCTTTGGAGGGAGTTGAAAGTCTGTGTTGCCCAGCGACAGCCCCAAAACATCACTGCTCTAGAGGAGATCTGCATGGAGGAATGGGCCAAAATACCAGCAACAGTGTGTGAAAACCTTGTGAAGACTTACAGAAAATGTTTGACCTGTGTCATTGCCAACAAAGGGTATATAACAAAGTATTGAGAAACTTTTGTTATTGACCAAATACTTATTTTCCACCATAATTTGCAAATAAATTCATTAAAAATCCTACAATGTGATTTTCTGGATTTTTTTTTCTCATTTTGTCTGTCATAGTTGACGTGTACCTATGATGAAAATTACAGGCCTCTCTCATCTTTTTAAGTGGGAGAACTTGCACAATTGGTGGCTGACTAAATACTTTTTTTCCCCACTGTATATACAGGGAGTACCAGTACCAAGTCGATGTACAGGGGTACGAGGTACAGTGCCTTGCAACAGTATTCATCCCCCTTGGCGTTTTTCCTATTTTGTTGCATTACAACCTGAAATTTAAATTGATTTTTATTTGGATTTTCATGTAATGGACATACACAAAAAAGTCCGAATTGGTGAAGTGAAATGAAAAAATTAAACTTATTTAAAGAAATTCAAAAAAAAAAAATACGGAATAGTGGTGTATTCACCCTCTTTGCTATGAAGCCCCTAAATAAGATCTGGTGCAACCAATTACCTTCAGAAGTCACATAATTAGTTAAATAAAATAAAGTCCACCTGTGTGCAATCTAAGTGTCACATGATCTGTCACATGATCTCAGTATATATACACCTGTTCTGAAAGGCCCCAGAGTCTGCAACACCACTAAGCAAGGGGCACCACCAAGCAAGCGGCACCATGAAGACCAAGGAGCTCTCCAAACAGGTCAGGGACAAAGTTGTGGAGAAGTACAGATCAGGGTTCGGTTATAAAAAAATATCTGAAACTTTGAACATCCAA